AACAAACATACAAACAGACACACAAACCCACCTAGCAAAGCCACATACATACACGCATACAAACACACATACAAACACACATACAAACACACATATAATCACACATACAATCTCACATATAAACACACATACAAACACACATACAAACACACATACAAACACACATACAAACACACATACAAACACACATACAAACACACATATAAACACACATACAAACACACATATAAACACACATACAAACACACATACAAACACACATACAAACAAATACACGAAAACAAAACTCGTGGTTATCTATAAATAGGACTTGGCCATTACCCCTTATTATCCATTATTGCTATTGGCAGGTATCACGCTTTCATACTAGTCTTTAAAATCATGATCATCCTAACAGCATTATCAACAACATCAGTAACAACAACATCAACAACAACAACATCAACAACAACATCAACAACCACATCAACAATAATGATGTTGATAATATTTATAACAACAATAACAACGACGATGCGCATGACGAAGAAAACAACTATAACGTCATCAACAGCGTCATCAGTTCCGTCAACTTACGCTTTGATTTCACCAACAACAACAACAACAACATTTTTAGAGAATTCGCGTCAAATAAACCAACAGAACAACAGAGACAACAACAACATAAGAAAAAATACAAAAAAAACAAAAATAAACATAAACGAAAACATAAACATGATAAACAACAACCACTACAACAAACACACTGCCAACACACCCACTGCCAACAAAAACAACAACAGCCTGAACATCAACATCAACAAAAACAACAACAGCCTCAACAACATCAACAGCAGCAACGACAATTACAACCATTACATTACGAGGTAGATAGCGTAGCTCTACTGCATATGTGCTCTGGAAATTTTTTACAAGTTTCAAATGGCGGGAAGAATGGCGAAAAATACGTCATCAATGCTAAATCGAATGTGAACAATGAAAATAGTGAGTTAATACTACCTCTGCTACTAATTATAAATGTTTAGCAATGTGTGTGTGTCGTGTGTGGATTCAAACGCATTCACGTAAGCTTTGCTGTTGGCACCTTCATTTCAATTCATAAGAATTGAAATGAAGTTAATAATAATAATGATAATAGCTTTATGATATTTAAAATGATCAATATTTTTTAATCATCGTCATTCCTTGTTAGCAAATGATTCATTGCCATTGCATCATTTGACTGAACGTTTTTATTGATGATGTCATTTTCATTACAACAGCATTGTTCACGGTGAGATACTTAGGGAAGAATATTCCTCTTTCTCCTTATCTTCTTCATCGTCATAAGATGCTATCGAGTCCAATTGTGCAGCTGCAGCACAAGAAAACTGGACTGTGCGTCTGCTTCGGTCTGAATGGCAAACTCACATTAAAGGTAAGGTAGATCATTCAATCCATCCATTCATTCGTTCACTCATTCATTCATTCTTCCATCCATTCATTTGTCCATTCAGCAATAAAAATATATAGAGAAGTTATATGCAAATTTTGATTTCCTGTTCAACATACATACCCTTAACATCCTAACCAGAAACTGACAGGCGAACCATCACCGAACTGTTTATTGAAGGAGGAGTTTCATATGAACCCGGCAGCGAGAACATACACATCTCTCCTCAGCGACAACTGGCACTTGAGGTTCAACAACGAAGGTTCTAAAATAAACCCGCATCGACAACATCGCGACAATACTTTGCTAAGACCAACTCCAACAAATACCGGCTTCAAAAAGAGCGATGGCAACGTTTATTACGGTAACTATATCGATTCGGATGCTCTCGATAACTACTATAGATACGAATATAAAAGGAAAAAAACAAAAAAAAATTCAACTGCCCATGACAACGACAGCCACAGTCTAGTCGAAAGATCGTTTAATAATGAAGATCAAACCGTACCGAAGGAATGCAACTATTTCAAGCTAATCAATCCACCCAAAGCATTATCCGACGCCGATAAGAATGTGCAATATTTCCTAACGAGGCTGAACAACCACAACCGACCGACTCGATAATTATTTATTATAATTCGATTATAACCGTTTAATAATCGACCGAATACTGGAAAGGGTTGAATAACTGGATAAACCAGAATGAATTTTTTGAATTGGTAGATCGTAACACCGATCGGTACTTAATATCTACAATAAGGAATTTGCTGGAAATTCTCTATTAAAAGTAAAATGGAGTGAGTCGTATTATATCTTCAACATGGTTGATATGATGAAACAAATTGCAATTATGAAAATGTAAATATGTATGTAAGTGAACGTAAATTGTAGGAAACAATCGATTAATTAATTAATTAGTTTATTTATATATTCATTCATCCATAATTAATTTATTTGTAAATAAGTTCAATTTGAAATGTTATTTTCAAATAAATCGAGAATAAAGTTCTTTCCATAGTCACGAATGTTATCAATCGAACAAGCTTAAAACCTATAATAATGTATTAATATATATGTATGTATGTATGCTGGTATGTATGTATGTATATATATATATATGTATGTGTGTATGTATGTATGTATGTATATATGTATGTGTATATGTATGTACGTGTGGGTATGTATGTAAGTATGGG